GTCCAATGCCAACAGCAACATGCCTGAGCGGGCCACGCCAAAGACCAATGCAAAAAGTTCTGTGCATACGAAGCTTCGGGGAAGTATGCTGGAGTCCGTTTGCACAGGGTCAGGTGCTGACGTGAACAAGCCTGATGTACTCACGCCAGACGCAGGCATGAAGAAGCCCAAATGGCAGAGCGACCTCAACGGCAAGGTCACGTCCACGTGCATGAGATCTGGAATTGAAGGCAGCAGCCCTGAACTGCTAAAGCCGTAGACAAGCATAGGCAAGCCAGGATGCAGGTGTGTTTGCAGCAAAGTAAACGGTTCCAGGGACACAGGATCCAGAACAGGCAACAAGGGCTCTGTGGTCGACAATCCGTAGGTAAGCATGGCCAGGCCTGGTTGCAGGAGGCTGTGCAAGGACGGTGCAAGGCCCGGGTTTGCAGGATCCAGCACGATTGATGAAGGGCCCAGTCTAGCAAGTCCATAGGTGGGTGGCGGCAATCCGGGTCACACGCAGCTGCGCGATAGCATCGACGAGCCAGCAGCAATGAAGTCCGGGACCGGAGGTGTGGCTCCCAGGCGGGTCATTCCCCAAGGAGACATTGCAAGTCCCAGACATGCAAGGCTTTGTGTCAGAAGCATAAGCCCCATGCTTGCAAGTGCAGGAAGAAGCAGCGACAAGCCCAACCAAAGCAGTCCATAGGCTGATGAAATGAAGCCGATGCGCAAAAAGCTCTGCGGCAGCATTGTGAGGCCCAGGTTTATGCGATCGGGCGCAAGCAAAGGCGCACCAAGGTATGAGACGCCGAAAATGGGCAAAGAGGCGTCCGAACAAGCAAAGGACCTGAGCAGCATGGGCGCACCAGGGCTTACCAATCCCAGGACGGGCATGGGACTCTCTGACCGAGAAATACCATAGGCCAGAAGGCTCGAGTCTGGATGGGAATAGGCATGCAAAGACAGCAACAAGCCCATCTGACCAAAATCCAGCATGGACGTGGGGCAACCGAGCCTAGCCATGCCGAAGATGGATGCCATAAGTCCGAACCGTGCAAAGCTTTGCAGCAGGAGCGAACTCCTCAAGTACACGTGGTCCAGTGTCAGCATGAAATCTTCTAGCCTGCTGACCCCGTAAACTGGCAGAATGAACTCAGTGCATGCAGAGCTTTGCAGAAGTATGGAGGGATCAGTGTGGGCAAGGTCCAGCACTGACAGGGGAATGCCAAGTTTCAGCATACCGTACGCCAGAAGGGTGAGGCCAAGCTGCAAGAAGGATCGCAGCGAAGATAAGCTGCCAAAGCCAACCATGTCAAGCGCTGATAGGGGTGGTTCTAAGCACGATACTCCGTATGATGGAGTTGGAGCTCCGGCACGAACGGATGAATGCGGCGACAATGCCAAGTCAGATGCCATAAAGTCCAAGGCAAGCAGTGAAAGGTCGATGCTGCTAAATCCGTAGGCAAGCAGCAGTGCTTCAGGTTGCATGTAGCCCCTGGGCGACAGCGAGGGGTCTGCGTTAACAGAGTCCGAGGCTAGCGACAGTGACCCCGACCAGGCAATGCCCCAGACTGGAACAGGCAAGCCTGACCGAGCAAGGGATTGAAGCAACAGCAAGGAGCCAGTGCTGATGAAATCCAGAACTGAAGGAGAAGAGCCCAAACGGGCAATGCCATAGACCAGCAGATCCAAACCCAAGCAAGCAAGCGCACGCAAAAGCATCATGAAGTCGAGATGAGAAAAGTCTAAGGCAGGTGGACTCAGCTCAAGCCGCACCAGTCCGAATACTGGCAAGATTGGCTCAAGCCGCTGGAGGCTTTGCAGTGTTAGGGGGCTGTCAATCTGGATAAAGTCCAGCACCAACCTCAGGTCAGGTCATGGCTACACAAAAAAACAACAAACAAGGTAACTCTCATCGCGGGACACCAGCAATGCTAGGCTCCTGGCAGGAGCAGTCCAGTCTTGGACAAGCCATAGACGAAAAGGGATGGACCGGAGCAGCTAGAAGAGCGCACTGGAGGTGGCGACCTGGGAACAGGAATGTCACCCAAGCTAGGCATGTATATAACTTCCTCTCTTTCTTGCCCTCTCGAAGATCTAAAGCGAACCTGGCACTGTATCCAATACTTCAGCCGGGCAGCCCCGATTGTACGAAGTCCGAGGTCGGCGAAGGCGCACCAGGAGTCGCGCACCCGAAGGCCAGCAGCAGAAGGTCTGGACCTGGTGGGGGACTATCGTTTTTCAATACAGGTGCTGGTTGTACATGACCAGAAAACCAATCCTTGCACGAAGCAGGTTCTTGCCACCCACCGTCTGGTACCATTCTTGCTTTCAGAGGTGAGGCTAGCAAGACTGACTGATGACAGGATGCCGTCACTTGCGAACTTTTCTGGTTAGGGACTAGTTTCAGCCTGAGGCTAAGCTGGAATGCTGGAAGCGCAGAAGCAAACATCTGGTAAGGCAACGACAGACAAGACCATGCGGTGCCATCGTGGAGTCTGACGTCATCAGGTCCGACACCGGCGTGGAGAGACCCGTGCGGGCCTCCGTTTCAGGGATGTAGAGGATTAGGGGGAGGTTCTTATCAAGGACTACGTGGGGAATACTATGAGAAATACCCATGTAGGGACTATCTTCTTTGGGCACCTGCAGCAAGCTGGACATAGGATGACAGGTTCCAACAGTGCCTGTATGCAACATCTCAACATAGAAGTTGCGCGCAACCCCACATGTGAACATACGTCCGATTCAGGATATTAGCAACAGGATTTGGTAACCCCAATTCCAACCCCCAAAATTCGGACCCTGTGACTATCACATGATGGTTATAGGCTATAGGGTCCTCATTTTGGGGGTTGGGATTACCAAAATCCCTTTATTAGATTAAGCCATGACCGCACTCTGGGGTTCGTACCAAACCAAAGGCCAACATCGGCAGCTCCAGGTGGATGTGACTCCCTGAAATCAAAGGTGCAGAGTCTAAAGGCCACCAGCAAAAACAAATGGGGATTTCCCCAAACTAGGGGCACAAAGCTTTGGGATCCTTATAACAAGCATGAAAATATGTTGTGGTCTACATTGGGGTCTCCCTTGTTTTGGGAAACTACCAAAAGGCATCCGAGGCTCGTAGCAGTAGACTTGAACCCAGGTGGACAGAGTCCAGTACCGACGGCAACGAGCCAGTACATGACCTGGCTGAAGCAAGAGCCTAGGCCAACTTGAAGATGCGACCCTCTGCTCACTGGTAATTAGTAGGGAACAAGGGAATATAATCCGGATAGAATCCCTATACAATTATCCCTAGATAATATATTCCGTTATTCCCTACTGACAACCAGTAAGTCTGAGGCTATGGCATGCCATATACTACTGCAGGCGAGCCCAAACGACAGGAGGATCTGAGCACCTCAGCAGCTGGGACAGCCACATCAAGGGCTGTCAATCTTTTGCGTGGAGAACAATGTGCATGCGCTGTAACCCCTGCTCTGCCAAAGCAACCTCAAAACTAGTAGCTCAAAACTAGTGGGGGTGATTTCACTCTTGCAGTTCCTTAGTTCTCGGACGGGAAAGACATTCTGAAGTGCAAATGGCCTGGCACAATGACCTTTGCACGCTCTGACTAGAGCAGCTGTGATGGCACGAACTGAGTGAGCTGCAGTCCTAGGTAGGCGACTTGGGGGATCTTTAACAACACAAACCCTTGCGTGTTTGCCATGTTGTGGCGACACTGCGCGGACACTTGATTGGGCAGGACTCACGCCGCAAACACAAACGAGCAGGATGGTCACGTGGAGTTTCTGTTGAACGATGGAAGCAAAGACTTTGTTGCAGGGCAACTTGGTACTAGAGACAGGACGCCCAAGATAAGCACCTTCATCATAAAGCGCCGCCACCACCACCACCACCACCGCCGCCGCCGCCGCCGCCGCCGCCGCCGCCGTCGGCAGCATCATCATCCTCATCATCCTCATCATCATCACCATCATCACCATCATCACCATCATCACATTCGCGAACCTACGTGTGCTACTGAATTAGCTCATTTTTTTCCGCTGCAGTCGCTACACTGGATGTGACGCTTTTCCTTTATTCCCTGCTTAGAACCAACAAGAAAGGCTGCTCAGGGGAGCACCGGCAAAAGCCCGGGGTTCACGAGGTCCGAGACCGGAAGAGGAAAGCCAAGGCAAGCAACGCCCCATGCCGAGGCAGTGAAGCCTGTCACAGGAGTTGTGAGCTTAGGGTTAAGGGTTTAGGATGTCGGGTCTAGGGTTTAAAAGTTTAGGGTTTCGGGTTTAGGGTTCAGGGTTTCGGGCATAGGGTTTGGTGGCTACACTGGCACAAGCTACATGAGGGGTTGACCTTAAGGTCCTTGGGGGAAATGATAAGGTAGGTCGGCAAAATATGACCTGTCCATCATAATCGTTCTTGGAACAGGAATTTTGACCAACTACCCTATCTTCCCTCAAGGCTGGAAGCAATCTTCTAGTCAAACCATTACGACACGAATCATGCCTGTTTCCACCTGAAAAAAGAGGGTGCCTGGTTGGCAAAGCGATCTTGGGAGCGGTGAGGCTCCCAAACTCAAGGAGTCCGAAGCTGCCGTAAAACTCCCTGACCGAGTAAGTCCAAAGATCAGCAGAGAGAAGCCCACCTGAAGGGAGCTGCGCCTCAGCTGGCCAACTCCCCCATGCATGGTCGTACCAAGCAAATGCTGAGAATGCTGTGCTGTGCATGCACAAACGAGTGGTTCTTCTCCGATGCCGCAAGTTTACGACTTTCTTTTTAGAAAGTCTTCGAACACGGAAGGGAGAGCACAGGCAAGCCCAAAGTAGCGCATGACCGTTTAACCGTCTAGAGTCTTGTTTTGAATGATCTGGCAGAGCAGTCGCTCCCCACGAACTGCTCGCCCGCCCTCCCTTCGGGCTAATGGCCATAGGTAACTAATGGCTGTCTAAGGTGACACATCCAAACGGCAATAAATGTGCAGCTCTACTAGCCTTCGGCCGCTGCTAGTTTTAGAAGGTGTTAGCATGGCACGTTTGCCAGGCTTCCACGGATTTGAAAGGATGGAAAGCGACGACATCTGGGTCACTGCAAGAGTCCCAGTCATCAGGAGGATCGCAATGACGTTCTTGGAGCAGGTCGTAGAGGTTAACCCGATCTATGGTAGCGTTGGCCTTCCTCTTGAGGCATTGGTCGCACCATAGATCCTCTCCCCAGTGGCAATCACCACTGCATAGCTTTCTAAAGTAAAAGTAGCAAGTCTTGAAGAGACCCTGAAGTGCAAGGACTGCATTCTGAGAGAAGATCTCCAGTGGCCCGTGCATCCCGTACTTGCAGTTGTTGAAGTAGACCTCAGAAAACCAAAGCTGCAAAAGTAGGTAAGCAATCCAGTGCTAGGGGTGGCATACACAAACGTGCTCTAAGGTAGAGACCCCTCTGCCGTCAGCTCCGGATGCTCTGTCATCGTAGCGGGTCAGCAAGGGCTGAAGTCTGTCAAACATGAAGACAGTGTCAGCATCTGCTTTAATGAAGTAGTTGAAGTTGAGAAAGTCGCCGTGGACGAAGATTTGCTTCCAGAAGGCAGCGAAGATTCTAAGATTCAGCGCGGTTTTGAACTCACCCCCAGTCTCACACATCTGCGAGGTGCACACCTTCTTGGTGACAAGCCCATCTGCAAGCATCATCTCCTGGTTGCTGTACACGGCGTAAGACGTGCAAGCAAAGATGCCCAGCTTCTTCTTGTACTGCTGCGTCAGCAACCCAACTTCGTAGGAATACGCCCTCATCCTTGGTGTTCACAGCATCGCCAGTTCTGCCAAGATCATACAGCCATCAATCATGGCAGAATTCTGAAAGCTGCAGAATGACCCCGCAGCCCTGCCCCCAAAACAACCCAAGGCCTTTGATGTCCGCAGATTTGCTAAAGCTTAAGGCTATTCGCCCTTGGAAGCTGGTACAATGGGCCACCAAGCAGTTTCACCGCACCCAGCTCAGTCTTAAAACTGCTTGGGACCCCACAGGCGTTCAAGGCTGACTGCCTGCCCAGCGGCAATGCTGTGCACAAGCAGCTGCCTGGGGCAGCGCGGCGCGGAGGTGCAGGCTCCGGCATCGTGAAGAGCTGCACCTACTCATTGCTATCGGGCTATCACCGAGTCATGGCTGGTTTGCTGCACATGCTGTTCCTCTCGGAGCCTCATCACGCGGCCATAGAGCGTGCGAGGGAGAAGATTTGCAACCGCAAGGTAGGCCTGCAGGCTTGGTGAAAGAGTCAGAAAACTCTTTCAAGCAAAATGGATGCAGCTGAACCAGGCTTTACTCAAGCCGGAGTGCCTGCGATTGTTTCCTTCTTGTTCAGCAGCTTGGGCAACTCGTCGGGCTGCAGCTTCTTCATGAAGCATACATCCGTCAGCCCAGCTACATTCCTGAGCATGAACCCACATAAGCCTTGAGTAACATCGAAATTTATGCTCGTTTCGCTGTCTGAACTTTAAAGTCTGCTCTCGTTATGACAAGAGCACCGCACGGCTCCCCAGGAGAACGCTGCGCAGCCGTCCGTTTTTGTACACTTCTGCTGGCATGCGCTCACCGACGTGATACCTTCCAGTTCCGAACTGATATGAGTTTAGCAGTTTAGCACAGCGCGCATGCCATCACGCCAGCCTCCTACAGGAGGGAAGCCCATTGTTGTCTCGAGGTCGGTCTGGAGCATGGGCTGTGGGCACTTTGCCGCGTCCTCAAAGCTGTAAGCATGTCGCCTGCCCCCTTCACACATGCCAAACATGCGCAGAACAAATCTACATATCTCGTATTCGCCACACATACATGAAAGTACAATCCAAGTGATCATCCCTGTGGACATGAGATGACATGAGTGTCCCAGTCGCCTCTGGACTCCGACAGCATGGCATTGCCGAGATGACACCCTGCCGCTCCGTCATCTTCGGGGCACCAGAGAACTTTTTCAGGAAGCAGGTGTCAGACAAGCCTGAGGGTTTAGGGTTTATAAGGAGGAGCACTTTCGAAACTATCAAAACTACACATTGCTTTCTCCTTGAGCCTGCGTGCCTTGTACGCCACGGATGGCGCCCCACACCGAAGCGTCACAATCCCTCTGGGTGCAAATTTGTTGGCAGTGCGCCGCCGTCAGTACCTGAGCATCGATGCAAAAGTCTTTTCTAGATGCAGAACAAGGCACAAAACAGAATGAGTGCTCACGAGAGGAAGAAGTACAGAGCAAGTTTCAAGCAGTTTGTGAGAGCCCTTGAAAAGCTGAATAGGTGAGTTCGTGCACACTTTTCGACGATGGCATGAACCCTAGAGGAGTCTGTGCCTGAGAAGTTGTGGAAACTTGGAAACTTGGAGCCAGGTCAGGTGGGGCAATTTGTATCAAACTGAGAGTGTGCGCCCCAGAGACTCCGCGAAAGCAAAAACATGGAACACCCAGGCAAGCCCGCACTTCTTCCTGTCTGACTTGAATGATACGAGCGCCACAGCGGTTCTAAAGAGTGCTACCAAGACAGGGCTTGGGCTCGCCTCAACTGCAGAACTTCAACAGGGACAAACTTCTTCAACCAAAGTTTGAAAGTTGAGCTTAAGATGGTTCATGCCTTCATAGCCGCGACACATCATGGAAGACACCAGCATCTGCGCCCATTTGGATGTCTCGATCCACAAGCTGCGCCGGACAGGCCTTCACCTGCTGCCACTTGAGGAGTTCCACCCTGGGATGTGGCTCTTCTGTCAAAAATCATGCTTGCCGTACTTTTGCACTTCATGGCTGTTCATAGTCATAATACATCACTTACAGTTAAATAACCTTCCCATGGAGCCCATCTCTAAGCGAGTGGCATATCTGCCTGCAGTTTTGCGAAGTTGGAGGTGTCAGAGCTATGGTCACTATCGTCTGGGCTGGATGACTCAGTGGAGCCATCGCCGCCTGAATCACCATCATCACCCTCTGAGCCCGATGAGCTTTGGCCGTCATCGCCATCTTCTCCGTCGCCATCTTCTCCGTCGCCATCGCCTCTGTCGCCATCGCCTCTGTCGCCATCGCCTCTGTCGCCATCGCCTCTGTCGGAGCGCCCGCTGCGTTCCAGGGAGCTACCAGCATCAGCGTGATGGCCAAGTCGCTCTGCTCGCTCCGTGGCATGTGTGGCAACTGTGGTGGTTTCGCTGCTTGTGGTGGTGCTGGGTGTGGTGGTGGGTGCCTCTGTGGTTTTGGCAGTTGAGGGAGCTTCAGTTGTAGTATATTCGGTGGTTGTGGTTGTAATTTCACTGGAGGTGGTTGAGAGACGTGTGGACCGCGAGGACGGGGGCGGCGCATGCCGTGTCCACGCCGTCCCGGACCCGACATGCCCGGGCCGCAAGGATGGTGCAGGCGTTGCTTCGTGCCTGTGATGGACTGAGCCTTCGCCGCTCCAGTCGAAAGAGTCGCTGGACCGTGGGTAGCGGTCGTCATCAACGTAGCCGTCTGAGCCATCCCCATCCTTCCAATACTCACCTCGCAAAGAGCTGCGCTTAACAACTAACATGGTTGAAGATCTGAAGAGCAGACAAGCCAGCCCTGTTTCGCGACCCCTTTTGCCTGAGCCGTCGTCACCATCATCCTGGTAGTTGCCTTGCCCGCCTTCGCTCTGGGCTTCGCCGCCTTCACCTCCTTCGCAGAGCATCTCAAAGTCGTGGCAGCAATTCCCCTCCTCCCGGCAACTGGGAACGCACTGACCTCGGATCAGCTCGGTTCAAGAGAATGAGTAGCTAGCGACAATGAGCGAATAGTCTGACTCCACCTGAAGGTCGAGGGACAAAGGTGTGCACAATTTGCAAGGCCGCTGCATCCCAGGGAGTCGCTGCCACAGCCCAAGGCTTCGCAGGAGCCCTGGAGCTCCTTTGCAACAGCTTTGCTGTCACGTCTCATCTCACAGGTGCTAGTTATAGTTTGCACTCAAACTATCAGCCAGAAAAGATGTTCACCACTGGAGCAAACCAAGCTTCTGATGACTGATACGAATCCCTGGCCGCGCAAACCTCTTCATAGTCCGCACAGCAGTCGTCAAAGTACACACAGCCGTCGTTGCCTGGGCAAGTGCTTCTGACTCTTGAGCCACATGATGCCAAATGCAAAGGTCTTGTTAAGCCAAGCTGCACTGGCAGCTGCCGACATAATTGTCTGTGTCGCAGCCCATGCTGCGGCAAGAGCTGGCTCCAGACCAGAGGCGAAGATGGGATCGGCGTCCAGCTCGCTGGGTGATGGGCCCAGACATAAAGAAGGCCGTTAGCAACACGAAGCTACAGCCACTCACCAGAGCCAGACCAAGCCCTATGCGCCGTCTGGAAAAGACAAAGCCAGCAAAGGTGGACCTGGCACAGGCTTGGCAAGGAAAGCAGCTCAGAACGTACACGCACTCTGACAACACTGGCCGCGCCTCAAGTTGGGTCGGAGAAATGCTGTGGACTCTGTGAAATCTGCCGATTCCTGTAGGATGTCAACCTCGTCCTCCTGCGCCAAATTCATGGCCTCGTCCATTTCGAGAACTGGCATGACTTCGTGGCGACGTTGTCCGACGAAGTTCGGTCAGCTCTTTGAAAGTATTTGTGCTACTACTGTATTGCTTGCCTGTCAACCCTACATACACTACATGTGTAACTGACATGATGGGCATGTAAGATGGATCGCTCGCGCCACGCAGGCGCCTTGAGCATGCAACTCCCTCTCAAGAAGTAAATGTTGCAGAGCGGATTTCCTAAGCGCCTAAAGCAGACTCTCCGTCATCAGTTAGCTTTGTACTTACACTTGCAAACAGCCACTACAACCTTTGAGAATGGATGCGCTGAGCTGCTGACATGGCAAGCGGTAGTCCCATGTGCAGGAAGTCAGGCGCTGCCAGGAAGAACCCTAGTCTGGTCACCCCATAAACTAGCAGCGTAGATTCTGGCCGCAAAGAGCTGCGCAGCAACAAGCTGAACTCCATGTGGGCAAGGTCTGGTGAAGGCGGCAGCAGCTCCAGACAGACCATACCATAGGCAGGAAGGGGAAGATCAGGGCAAGCACAAGATTGCAGAGGCAGCGGAAACCCAGCCAACACGTAGTCTGGTACGGGGGTTGATAGCTCGAGCTTTGTCAGTCCATAGGCAAGCAGCACGAGTCCCATGCAGCAAGGAGATTGTGGGAACATGGGCGAGCCTATACTTGCGAAATCCAGGATGGGTGATGGGCTGCCGGGCCATGTACAGCCATAGGCGAGAAGAGAGAAGCCCAGATACATGAAGCTTTGCAGTAGCGATAGCAGGCCCGGAAGGCCAAGGTCCAGTGGAGGAAGTAATGCACCAGGACATTGCGCACCATAGGCTAACAGAAGAGCACCCAAGCAAGCGTGAGACTGCAGAAGCAGACTTGCCTCAGGCTGCACAAGGTCCATGGCTGGCAAAAGAGAGCCTGGCGTCGTCAAGCCCCATGCCGGCATCGAAAAGCCAATCCTCATGGATGTACGCGGCAACGGGCTCGAGCCAAGGCTCAGGAGGTCTGAGGTCAACAGCGAAAGGCCTGGTCGAGAGACTCCATAGGCGGCCACCAGGAAGTCGGAGTGGACAGGACTATGCAGCGGCATTGACAAGTCCGGCTGCGCATGGTCCAGCGCAGGCAACAGAAGCCCTAAACAGGTGATGCCATAGGCTGACAGCAGCGGATCCGTTTGTGCGAGGCTTCGGAGCAGCGTGATGGACCCCAAGCACAGATGGTCCGATACTGGAGTCAACGGGCCGAGTCGGAATAGACCGAACGGTAACAATATCAGTTCGGTGTGCACAAGGGATCTGAGAAGCGGCAGCGCGTCAAGGTCCACAAAGTCCAAGGCCAAAGGTGGTGAACCTGACCTTGTCAGGCCATAGACCAGCATGGACAAGTCTGCTTGAAGATGCCCACGCAGGGGCATAAGGCTACCTGAGTGCAAAAAATCTAGAACGAAGAGTGGCAGATCTGAGCAAGTCAAGCCATAGACGGACGCGCTGGCGCCTGCCCTCAAGGAACTATGCAACAGCAAGCTCAAGCCACAGTGAACGAAATCCAAAATCAACAGCAAGATGTCTGGACAGCTGATGCCATATGCTGAGAGTGGTGGACCAGACCTTCCAAAGCTTTGGAGAAGCAACAGGAAACCAAAGGTTGCAAGAGCCAGCAGGAAAAGTGGGAGGCCAACCCAGGCAATCCCATAAGGCAACGGCAGGAGCCCCGACCGAGAAGGGCTTCGCATCAGTGGTATGGATCCCAAGTGAACAGGGTCCAAGGCTAGCAGCATGGAACCCGACCGGCACAGACCATAGGCAGGCAAGGACAATCCAGGTCTCACCAAGCTTTTTAAGGTCATGGAGGCATCTATCGAGGCAGGATCCAGCGCAGATGTGCTAAGGTCTAGCTTCAAGAGTCCAGAGATAAGCAACATCAGACCTGTTTGGAAAAAGCTTTGAGGGGAAATCATGGGGTCTAGGTGCGTGGGATCAGGCACCAACAGCAGCAGCTCAGGTTGCGACAGTCCGTACACGGAGAGGCTGAATCCTGAGCGGCTGAAGCCGTGCAATGATAGTGTTGAGCCTGTCTGGGTAAACTCCAAGACCAGCAGGAGCAAATCTGGGCATGATATGCCAGATGAGGCCAAGAACGGCTCAGATCTGACGGGGCTTTGGATGAACATCAAAGTTTCCAAAGAGATGCAGTCAGGCAAAGATAGGGGGAGGCCTGAGCGAGACACACCGGACGCCAGCAAGATGAAGCCAGGCCGCACAAGGGATCGCGGCGACACCGGAAGGTCAGAGTGTACAAAGTCGGGGACCAGCAAGAACAGGCCCAGGCAGCTTAGGCCATAGAGAGATAGCATAAGCCCGGGACGCAGGGAGCTGCGGGCAGGCAAAGAAAATCCCAAGCTGGCTAAGTCCAAAGCCAACGAAGGCAGCTCCGAACAAGACAGGCCAAAGACAGGCAGCGGCGAGCCTGTCCATGTGTGATAACGCAAAAGCATTGACGGGCCAATGTGAATGGAATCCGACACCAAAAGTGTAAGGCCTGGGACGTTCATGCCATAAGCTGGAGGTAGCGGATCAAAATGTGCACAATTTCGCAGTAGGAGTGACGAGTCAAGATGCACGGAGTCTGGAAGGAGTAACAGAAGGCCTGCGCATGTCATGCCATACGCTGGAGGAACGAGTTCTAGCCGGCAGGGAGCATGCAGCAGCGAGGAGCTACCGCACAGGCTGGGATCGATTGGCAACAGAAGCAGATCTGATCGTGTCAGGCCAGATGCGAACAGCAGACTGCCGAGTCAGGCGAGGCTATGGATGGATGGCGACAGGCCCGTCATCGTGTGATCCGACGCAGGAAGCAAAGATCCCAGCTTGGACACACCATAGACAAACAAAGCCAGTCCGATTCGCATAGGAGTGCGCAGGAAAAGCAGCAATTCTAAGTGCATGTAGCTTAGAACCGATGACGAGACATCCGAGCACGTAATGCCGTAGACCAGCGGCAAGCTCCCAGATTGAGTGGAGCCTTGCAGCAAAGGAGGCAAGCCCACGTGCACAAAGTCAATGGTCGAAAGTGTGAGTTCCGGTCTTGCAACTCCGAAGGCGAATAAGGTCGGCCCTGTCCGCATGGAGCCTTTCAGAAGCAATGAGAGTGCTGTGTTTGTCCAATCCGAGGCAGAAAGAGCTAGACCTGTCCTGGCAAGTCCGTAAACGGGTGACGGGCTTCCTGCCCGCGCGAGCGCTTGTGAAAACAATGCTGGCTCAAGCGAAGCAAATTCCAATGAAGACAAGGGCAGGCCCAGTCGAGACAGGCCGAACGCAGGCATCAGCAAGCCTATTCTGAGGGGACCTCGGATTGCAAGAGAGGGGTCGGAGTGAGAAAAGTCCAACAAAAGGGGTGTGAAATCCGATTTCGTGATGCCGTAGGTCAAAAGTATGAGCCCCACATGCTGGAAGCTTCTCGGCAGAATACTCGAGCCAAAGCAACAGAAGTCCAAGACCAATGAGAAGACTTCCGAGCATGTGATGCCAGAGGCTGGAAGCATCAAACCCATACACATGGGTGCCCGAGGTGAAGGAGCTGAACCAGAATGCGCGTGGTCTGAGGTTAGTGATGATGTGCCAGGCCTCGTGAGTCCGTAGGCAGACGGCACACTTTCGAAGTGAGCAAATGTTCGTGGGGACAATGGTGAGCCAGGATGGACAGGATCCAGCACTGAGGGTGTAGGGCCAGCCCTCATGACCCCGTAGACCGACAATACCAGATCAAGGTGGCAAAAGGCTCGTAGCGGCAGGGTCAAGTCGAGGTGTGCGCAGTCCGAAGTTGACGGGGAGGTGTCCGGCCTTGTTAGGCCGTAGGCCAACAAAGTGCTTCCTGGACAGGCGAGCATTTGCAGCGACATCACTGGTTCCAATGCAGCGGGCTCCGGTATCAAGAGGCTCAGGCCCAGTCTAGACATGCCAAACGCTAACAAAATGCTGCCCGTTCACATCATTGATCGTATTGAAGGCGTGAAGCCAGTCTCCAGATGATCCGGCATAAGCATCGTGAAACCTGAGCGCGTCATGCCATAGAGAAGCATTGCAAACCCCGCGCGCATGAGATTTCTGGGTGACAGCATGGCTCCCAGGTGCGCGAGGTCAGGGGCTGAAAGAAGCAACTCAGGACGAAGCATGCCAGAAGCAGCTGGAGCGAAACCCAACCAAGCAAAGCCCCGCAGTAAAAGCAAGGGCTCTGAACTGGCATGGTCAGGGGCAAAAAATGGAGAGTCCAAACACGCCAAGCCATACGCGGGTGGAAGAGGTCCTGCTCAGGCATGGCCGTGTAGTAGCAGCATGGAGCCCAGATGGATGTGGTCTGAGGCAAAGGGTGGCAGATCGAGCCACGACATTCCATATGCAAGCAGCATGCTACCCAGTCTCATGAAGCTCCGCGTGGCCATGGACGAGCCTGCTGTCACGAGATCCAAGGTCAAAGGCGTAAGCTCAAGACAAGCCACGCTGTAGATGGATATGGTAGGCTCGGCACGCATGTGATAGCGAGGCAGCATGGGAGAGTCAGAGTGCACGAAGTCTGAAACAAGCGAAGGCAGCCCCAGGCCGCACATCCCGTACGCGAGCAAGGTAAACTCTAGGTGCGCAAAGGCATGTAGCAGCAGCGAAGAGCCTAAACACACGTGATCGAGAATCAGTAGCGACGAGCCAGGTTTTGTCGCGCCGTACACCAAAGGAAAACTTTCCGTGCGCATGAAATGCCTGGCAGGTGCCGAGCTACCTGCTTGGACGTAATCTGAAGCGGGCAGGAGAAGCCCTGGGCGAGATAGGCCGTAAATGGAAGTGGCAAGATCTGAACAGACAAAGCTCTGCGTTGACAGGTTGGAGTCTGGGGTACAGCAGTCCAAAAGCGGTGGCGACGGACCTGGGCAACTCATTCCAGATGCCGACGTTGCCGAGTCCGATCAAACGTGAGTTTGCAGCGAGAATGTGCTACCAGGGGTCGTCCAGTCCACAATTGACGGTGGTGCCTCA